AGACAACAGTTTTTAAGTAGGTCTGTGTCTGCTTTAGGATGCATTCTTCATTTTCCCTTGCAGAATTTCACTGTGACTATGCAAAGCAGAAGTGTAATCTCTTCTAATCTACCTCAGTGTTCTTCTAAGCCTATTTATGTTTTATTTCTTTGTAGGTACTAAGCTATGTTTTGCAGATTGCCTGTTATTCCCTGAAACTCTCAAGATGTTATCTCATATTCCCTCTTTTTGACCCTCAGGCATTTGCAGATATGTTGAAAGTGAACAAAACACTAAAGAGTCTGAACGTAGAATCCAACTTCATCACTGGGACGGGTATTTTGGCACTGATTGATGCACTGAAAGAGAATGAATCACTGACAGAGATTAAAATTGACAACCAGGTAAAGAGAGCATTGAGCGAGTCTGCTTTTGTTTCCCTTCTGTATGGATTCCCAGAGGGTTTTCCTAGAGGGCTCTGGCAAAGTCAAGACAGCCTCTGTGCCTCAGCCATTCTGCAGCTCATGTCCCATGCCTGTGCAACCAAACAATGGAAAACTTCTAAATAAAACTGGTCAAAGCCAAGTAAAAAACCCAGAGCGAAATCTCCAGAGACAGGATTCTCTTTGTAGTTTGCAGCACAGTACTGAAATATAACCACTTATTTCTCTCTCATATATTAAAAAAAATATATTTTCTTTTCTTTTGGGGACATTTCACCGCATCACCAACAGAGACAGCAGCTGGGGACAGCTGTAGAGATGGAGATTGCCAAGATGCTGGAGGAGAACTCCAAGATTCTCAAGTTTGGATACCAGTTCACAAAGCAAGGTCCAAGAACCAGGGTAGCCGCTGCTATCACTAAAAACAATGATCTGGGTAAGATGCTACTACATCTACTCATCATTTGTTTGTGAGCCAAGTCCTGACCTTCCTAGATGCAACTCTTCCTGTCTGCACATAAGATTGAATGTTGTAGAGTTAAAATTCAATCTGCTATGTGTGAGGGGTGATGCGTAGCTCCATGGACTCTAAAGTAGACAACAGCAAAGATTTTACTGTGATTAGAAGCCAGTATTCTTCACCTTCTCCCACTCCTTCTGGGAAGGGGAGTTACTTCAGCCTTTTCCATGGAGCACCCTGGATTTTCAGCTGCCCTGTCAACTCTTCTGTTCAGCAAGTAGAGAGCCAAACCCATCCTGTTCAGTGAACACAGAAGTCCTCACTTCTTTGCCCTGCCCAGACCAAGCCTGCCCAACCAAAGGAACAAAAAAGACCAAGTACAGGCAAAGACAATAAAGCTTTGCAAGTTTTACCTGAGTGTGACATGCTGTGCTCTGTGTGCTCAATACACAGAGTAAGAAGGAGGTGATTAGGCTGTAAACTGCACTCTAGGAGTAAACTAGGAGGAGTTTACAGTAAGATAAAAAAAAGAAATACTGTGTTTTTAATCAATTCTACTTCAAAGAGGGGTGTCAAACCATGATTCCTTTGCTGGCTACAGCTTAGGTTTCTTTCTGTGAGAACTAAGATAAAATTTGAGCTAGAACTTATTTTTTTCACATATACTTTTATTTTTTTGCAGTTTTCATTTTTAGCAGTACCTAAGCATTTCAATGATATACTATTGGTCATGAAACTATTAGTGTCCCAGAATGGTATTTGAAATATCCCACCAACAAAGAAAGAAAGACCTTTTTTCCAGTATTTAACCAGTTGTCATTAGACATGTCCTGTACCTAATCTTATTTTTCCTGCTTTTGTATTATATGGTTTTGTTCAAGATTTAGTAGGACAGCATTCAATAAATAAAAACACTCAATAAAATAAAATAAATGAAGCAACAAAACGCTGAAAGTAGACACAAATGACTGATGTTACACTGTAGGCTTTGGAATAATGCAGTCAGTTTGCCAAGAAAGCACTGTGAAATAAACCTCCTGATAGTAAAATAATGGGATGTTTGTAGTAATATATCGTTGCTATTGACTTTCTGTAGTGAAAAGCATTCGTTCATCCAGTTTTACTGCTTTTGTTCTGTTCTTCAGCAGTTCAATATCAGAAACAGGACATGACAGTTTGATGTAACACCAAATTTTGTGTCACACTAACAGGAGAACCTCACTAATCTTATGTGGCCAAGTCAGAGAAGACTCAATACATTTTTATTAGTGTAGGTAATGGCAAATACTGCCCAACGAGACCTGCTCTATACCAGCTGTAATGTACCCTAAGTGCTGTAAAAATTCACATGGGGCTGCTTGTCAAAATAATCCTGCCCATAACACAAAGCTCATCACTCTCTGCTTTGCTAAATAGCAACTTCAGCCTACTTGGTTTCTAGTGAGAAACCACAGTTAATTAACATACTATCAGATGGCTGATGCAATCAGAGCATGTGAAGTTTAAACAGATAATTTAAGGGCCAATATGTTTTCCCGATACCAGTATTTCACAGATATCAGTACTTAAGGGTACTTCAAATTATTTTCTAAAAGGATATGATTATTGCTTACCCATAGTATACACTTGTGCAATTAAAAAAGTTATTATTTTTTGATGCCCAATGCTTAAATAACCCAGAGCACTGCATGCAGATGAGAGCATACCAGTATCAATTTAGCTGGAACACAGTGGCTTTTGAAAGAACATTAAAACTGTAACAAAAATCTCAATGGAGCGATTGGGAGGATGCACTCAAAATGGTGATTTCTTCATGATTTGAAGCCTTTAGCTCAGATTCTGATTTTTATAGAAAATGTATTGATATGAACACTTGGTTAAATTCTGCAGTCAGTGATATAGAAAAGTGCAGTTTAGATATGATTGTTCTGTTTAGCATCAAGATCTGTTGATTACAGCATTTATGGATATAATCCTGCTGAGTATTTCTTAGAAGTTCCCTCCTTCCTATTCATGTTACTGGGAAGGGAGTGTGTCAGTGAGAAAAGTCCTTAGGCTCTCAAGAAAGCAATAACAACTGCTCTTTTCTTGTTTTATTGGTCTAGTTCGTAAAAAGCGTGTGGAAGGAGAGCGGCAGTAGCCACACCATAGAAGATGCAAGGCAAGACTGGAGACCACCAACTGCAATCTCAAGTGTTCACTGGTCAGAAGGGAAGGCACTGGAAAACCATTACAATGGGAGTTGCTCTTTTCTGTTAATGTCTCCTTTTAACCTTGAAAGCACAGCCTGTTCATTTTTAACTTTCCTGGTTAATTTAATTTTTGAGAAAGAGTCGTAGTTGGTTTAATTTTAATGAAAAAATATTTTGCAATATCAGAAGCCAATACGCAGAATCTTAACTGTGTTTCTGAGCATAACATACAGTGACTCTGACCCTTATTTTAGACACTTTTTGACATATTAAAATATGATCTTGTGTATGGATAAGGGATTCTCTGCTGAAAATAGAAATTTTAGGGCCAAGTTCTGCAATGCCTTATGTTTGTGAGAACTCCTTACTTATATGTGTATAGTCCTGCTGACCTGAATCCTGCAATGAGATGCTCCCAGGAGTAGAACTAGTAATGCCAGTACAGGTTTGCAGGACCACACCCTTGAGCCTCTCTCCTGCATGGGATCTGGGCAGCTGGAACCACACTGGAACAGTGCCCTTCTACCTTCTTGGGTCCCCACCCGTCCAGGTCCAAGTGCAGGGTCACGCCTAGACGTATAAACATTGTCAAAGCCTACTTGTTTACATAAGCTTAGGTTAGGTGGATCATTTCACAATGTTACACTGATATTTGTTATCCTTACTCAACATTGTAAAGTAATATGCTGCCAATCCTATAGACTTTGAATGTTTTGTTTTTTTTCCTAGGCCAACAGGTTATTTGCTACTAGAATGCACAGTTTACAGCTATTTATCTTAATCTAAAATATTCTGAGCAATATTTGTTTTGCTTTGAGCCATGTGTTTGACTTTTTTTAGTTCTGGTATTTATATACATTTGTTAGTGTTCTAGAACTGTTCTCAGGACCTTTTAGATGAAGATTAATTAAATAGTTAATCCAAGAGTGCAGCTGTGCTACCAGAAAAAAAACATGAACAGGGTAGTTGTGACAGCTACATAAATTATATTTTTAGGCTCCAGTTCAGGTTTGTCCCTGTATCACAAGGCACTTGGGTCCTCATGTCACTGCTTAGCTGAATAAGGGCAGATTTAAGCATATGCACAAATGCTTTGCTAAATCAGGGCCTTACCTCAGATGCTGGACATAATCTTAACCCAGTGGAAAACGCTCATGAAGCAGCAGCTAACCCCAACGCTCAACAGCATCAAAACTTTAGTAAGAATTCAGTCTGATGTTTCATTTTATGTGTTTTACAGTCTAAAGCTATTCTTTACCACTGTTTTATCACTGCCAACAGTTGTGTCTGACTAACAGCCAGAGGTTCACTTAGGTTACACATACACGTGCTGTAAGAGCTAAGGGAGACTCGGGTTAGGTGCGTCGCACATACCAGCGCTTTCCGAAAGCTGCAGCAACACACCTGGGGCCAGCGCTGCGGCCCAGGAAACACTAACCTCTCCTCCAACAGCTCCTTCGGGACACCAGGGATGAAGCACTGTTTCTTTCACCCAGGTGACAGGACAGCACTGGAGGTCACGGACACTGCAGCATTCTCTTGACCCATGGGGAGAGCTGTGAGCCACTGTGCAGCTGGGCATCCGGGGGGATTAGAATCCAGGGGAGCCCTGGGAGCAGTGGTACACCTCTGCTTCACTTCCCTGATTGATCTTTTCGTGACCAGACCACCAGAGTGCAAGCTAACAGGATGAACCCTCCCTCCGTGCCTTTTATAATGGAAATGAGTAGGTCCAAGGCAACACTCTTCCTGTTGGATACTGGTCTTCATACTGGGATCCAAACTGAATAATGTACACTTAAATCCCACTTGGAATAGTTTGCTAAAGTGGTCTGCTGAGCTAGGATCTAAAGTGCAGTATCCACAGTTTAGTTCCTTGGAGAGCTCCCAGTCTTTACAATTTCCACCTCTCCTTCCCTTCCTCAGAATAAGGCTGAAACTTTTGCTTTGCAAGTAGAAAAAACGTAGCACACAGGAGAGTCTTGCTGAGCTTTTCCCTGGTTCCATGCAGGGTATCCTGTGAAAAACTGATATCCCATTTAAAAAAAAAAATGACAAGTTCTGTAACACAGTCATAACTCTGCATGGGCTTAAATAAATAGTCCTTTAAAAACATGCAGATTACCAAAAGAATACTGGGCTTTGCAGCATCAAGCTCACAGGTGGGAAGAATTCTCATCCCCAGAACCAAAAGATTGTGGTTGCTGACAAACTTCAGTGATTAGAATCACACCACCCCTATTTTCTTCTTTTCCTTTCATCCAACCAAGAGAATCCCAACTATCAATCATTTTTTAAAAATATATTTTGAAGATAATTATTTGTTACTTTTTTTTTTTTTAAGAGTGGTACATATATGTGTTTAAGGGAAACAAGTGCAATCCATTTCTCGTCTTTGCCATTTAAAGTGTTGGTATTTGCATGCAGCAGTTTTACAAGGATGGATTGTTCTGGCTGCTTCATGGTGTCTGCAGCATGTCATCCTGTATAGCTTTGCTTAGAGCCACACGAGTGGTTATATCGTCAGGTGACTCCATTCATGTCACCTATAGTTTGCTTCATGGACCAAGGTACCTGGCTGGGGAAGGCCCTGTGGGCTCTCTGTCCCTTCATCTGCCGTGCTCTTTGCACAGGCATGTTTCCTCTGAAGGGAGAATTCCTCAAGGCACCCCAGAGTATAATCTCAAACACCAGCCCCACCAGGCACTAGCAGACAGTGCTGGAGCTGTGCACCCCATGGCAGGGACCTGGAAGGTCTGGCTCCTTCCAGCATGTATGAGGAGAACTCCTAATCCCTGGCCATTTCTGCCAGACCTTGCAAGGGGGCTTGGTGACCAAGGACATCTCTGTCCTGTGTCTTCTGTGTGTTCCACATAAGGGCTTGGTCGTCACCTGGCCTTGAGCATCACAAAACAAACGTTGCAACAATATAAAGATCTGTTCAATACAACAGCAGCACGTGATGGTGATGCTTGATGGCAGATTTTCATATTAATATAGGATTATTTAGCTGGTTAAAAAAAAAAACAAAACACCTCTGCAACTAACATGAAGAGGGTCAGGACGTGACTAGTTATTTTAAATTCTACTTTCAAGCAACATCTGGCATACTCAATGCTGAATGGGGAACAGGGACAGAAGAGTCCTTTTTTCTTAAGCAAACATTCGGGAGTAACTGTATTTTTGCACATTGCTTCTCGTGTTGACAGCTTCAGTTTGGTTTGTATTTTTTTATACAGTTTTTTCATGGAAAAGCTCAACTTTGTGCGTGTCCTAACATAGGTTAATTGTAGCGTGCACTAAGGACTGTATGTGTACCTGTATAACTCTGGATCAGATGATGTTATTTCGGGAACAAAAGTAATTGCATGCGCACAGTATGATGCATATTACTCAAGAGATAGGGAATTACCACGCTATGTAACAGCGACTCCCCAGCATTGTGGTTTTTCTAAATAAATCTTCATAAAGAATTTGGGTTTTGCAATTTCTCATGGTTTTGTGCCTTGGATTGAGCCTCCCTTGATGCTCTGACATCAGATTAAGCAGCTTTCTCCACTATGGCTCTTGCAGCTTTCACTTGTCTGGATTATTTGCCAGGTTTTACCTTCTCTTCCCCCCACATTACATGCGCTGGGCTGGAGGTTTATGAATGATGGTTGGGTGCTCAGAACCAAGATTGGGAGCAGAGAAGTCTGGATTCTCCTCCCAGGTTTAACAGACCTCCCAGATTTAAAGCAACTTCATCATACCTCTCCATGCCTCACCTTGCACACTCTTAACATCACAGAATCACAGAATCACAGAAT